GCGCGGGTGCCAGGTCGGCGCGCAGACCTGCGGCGGCGGCTTGTCGCCGCCGCGCGGATCGCGCCCGGGGTAGCACAGGCCCATCGGCAGGATGGCGATCCGCCGCGCGTCGTAGAAAGTGGCGCGGTCGACGCCCAGCCAGGCGCGCAGGCGGTCGCCCGAGGGGTCGTTGAAGGGCAGGCCGGTGGCGTGCACCCGCGTGCCCGGCGCCTGGCCGACGATCATCAGGCGGGCGCTGGCCGCGATCTGCAGCACCGGCCGCGGTCCCAGCGGTAGCGTCTCGGCGCAGACTCGGCAGGCCCGCGCCGCGGCGACGGTCCGCTCCAGCTCCTGTGGCACTGCTTCGGCTCTCCGGGTCCTGCTGTGCGGTGGCGAAGAAGTAGGGCGTCAGGGCGGTGCTTGCCGGCGACGGACCAGCTCGGCCCGAAGCGCGCGGATCTGGATGGCTAGGTGCCGCTCTTCCGCCGCGAGCAGCCGGACCTGCTGGTCCAGGCTGATCTCCCGATGGCAGAACAGCTCCAGTCGCACGGAGGTCACGACGAAAACCAGGAGCGACCCCAGGAGCGTCCAGCTATAGGGCGGGTTGAGGGCCTCGTAAACGATGAGGCCCAAAGAGGCGGCGGCCAGGGCGAGGTCGACCAGCGCGAAGCGGCGCCAGACGGGTCGTGCCGGCTCCGGCCCGCGCCGGATGCCCCCCTCCGCTCGCGCAGGAAAGCCTCGAACTCCGCACTCTCGAGGATGTCCCGATAGCCCTCGGCCGTCCGCCGCGATTCCGCGAGCGTTCGGTCGAGGCGTCGCGAGGCCCGGCGCCGCGCGGCCAGGGCCCGCAGGTAGAGCGAAACGGCGAGGCCCCCCAACAGGGCGGCGAGCAGGCCGGCCGTGGCCCACGGGCCGAGGCTCTCGCCGAGCGTGCCGGGCAAGGGCCACACGCCGTCGGAGAGCAGCGCGAAGAGAACGGCGATCAGCGCCGCCTGGATGAGCGGGCCGGCATAGAGGTAGGCGACGAGCCAGCGGTCCCGCCGCCAAAGCCGCTGCGTCAACCGGCGTTGCCGCGAGTCCTCGGCGCGCAGGAGCGCGAGGATCTCCCGGTCGGTGCCGTTCAGGTCGTAGCTGTCGGAACTCATGGCTTCACCGCCTGCGTGCCGGCCAGTATAGGCGCCTTGCGACAGGTCCGGTAGTCGCGCGTCAGGCCTCGGCGCCCGCCTCGGCCAGCACCTCCTCGACCCAGGCCGGGACCAGCTCGCTGGCCGGACCGTAGCGCTTTTCCGCGAAGAGGCTGGCGCCCTGGCTGGGTTCGAGATTCAGCTCCAGGGTGTGGGCGCCGGCGTGGCGCGCCTCCTCGACGAAGCCGGCGGCCGGGTAGACGTTGCCCGAGGTGCCGATCGACACGAAGAGGTCGCAGGTCGCCAGCGCCAGGTAGATGCGCTCCATCTGCAGCGGCATCTCGCCGAACCAGACCACGTGGGGGCGAAGCTGGCCGGCGCCGTGGCAGGCCGGACAGGGGCTGTCCGCCTCGATGTCGGTGGTCCAGGCGCTGTCCTGCCCGCAGTCCTGGCAGCGCGCGCGCAGCAGCTCGCCGTGCATGTGCACCACGTCGCGCAGCCCGCCGCGCTCGTGCAGGTCGTCGATGTTCTGGGTGACCAGCAGCAGCTCGCGCTCGGCGCTGCCCGGCGGGCTGCCGGCGGGGGCCTGGGCGAAGGCGCGCTGCAGCCGGGCCAGGGCGCGGTGCGCCGGGTTGGGTTGCACCGCCGCCTCCAGAAGCTGGCGCCGGCGCTCGTTGTAGAAGGCCTGGACCCGCGCGGGATTGCGCAGGAAGGCGTCGGGCGTGGCCACCTCCTCCAGGCTGACGCGCGACCAGATGCCGTCGGCGTCGCGGAAGGTGTCGAGGCCGCTTTCCTTGGAGATACCGGCGCCGGTCAGCACCACGATGCGCTTGATGGGAGACGCCATGGGGCTCTTCTCCTCCGGGGTCCGCTGTGATTCGTCGACTCGGGGCTCTGGCTTGTCGGCTGCGCGCCCCATGCGATATGACCGCGATGACCGGGGAACAAGGGGCAAGACCGTGACCGATCCGTCCGACCCGCGTGCGCGGGACGCGCAGACCGGCGGCACCGCGCCGGAACAGGTGCCCGCCAGCCCGCAGCCCGCCAGCCTGTTGTTCGTATGCAGCGGCAACATCTGTCGCTCGCCCACCGCCGAGGGGGTGATGCGCCGCCTGCTCGACGAGGCCGGCCTGACGCAGGTGCGCACCGGCTCGGTCGGCACCGGCGGCTGGCATGTCGGCGAGCCGCCGGATCTGCGCGCGCGTGAGGCCGCCGCCCGGCGCGGCTACGACCTGTCGGCGCTGCGAGCCGAGCAGCTCGCGGCGCGGCACTTCGAGACCTTCGACCGCCTCTACGCCATGGACCTGGGCCATCTGCGCCATCTGCGCGCGCGCGTGCCGGCCGCGCTGCGTACGCGGGTGCGCCTGTTCCTGCATCCGCTGGACCCGGAGGTCGGCTTGGGCCGGAGCGGCGCGCGCGAGGTGCCGGACCCCTACTACAGCGACCAGGCCGCCTACGAGCTGGTGCTCGACCTGGTCGAGGAAGGCGCGCGCGAGATCCTGGCGGCGCTGCGGGCCGGCCGGCTTTGACCCTGGCCGAGGCGGTCGAGGCGGCGCTGGGCCTGCGCCCGCTCAAGACACGGCCGCTGGGCGGCGGCTGCATCGCCGAGGTGGCGGCGGTCGACCTGCCCGACGGCCGCCGCCTGGTCGTCAAGCGCGGGCCGCCGCGAACGGCGCGGCCCGCCGGCGGGGACCCGTCCGACGGTGGGGCCGGGGGGCTGGCGCTGGAGGGCTGGATGCTCGGGGTGTTGGGCCGCCACGGCCTGCGGGTGCCCGAGGTGCTGTACGCCGATGCCGAGCTGCTGGTGATGACCCGCCTGGACGCGGGCGGCCGCCTCGACACGCCAAACCAGGGGCAGGCTGGCGAAGCCCGGACTGCCGAAGCCCGGACTGGCGAAGTCCGGACTGGCGAAGTCCGGACCGCCGAAATCCGGGCCGCCGAGGCCATCGCCGCCCTGCACGCCCACACCGCGCCGGCCTTCGGGCTGGAGCGCGACACGGTGATCGGCGGCCTGCCGCAGCCCAATGCCTGGCTGCCGCGCTGGCTGCCCTTCTTCGCCGAGCGGCGGCTGCTGCACATGGCCGGCCTCGCCGCCGGGCGCGGGCGCCTGCCCGGCGCGGATCTGGCGCGAGTCGAGCGGCTGGCCGGCCGGCTCGAGCGCTATCTGGGCGAGCCGGCGCGCCCGGCCCTGCTGCACGGCGACCTCTGGGGCGGCAACGTCCTGGTCGGCGCCGACGGCCGGCCGGGCTTCATCGACCCGGCGATCTACTACGGTCACCCGGAGGTGGAGCTGGCCTTCACCACCCTCTTCGGCACCTTCGGGCGGCCCTTCTTCCGCCGCTACGCCGAGCTGGCGCCGCTGGAGCCCGATTTCTTCGAGGTGCGGCGCGACCTCTACAACCTCTACCCCCTGCTGGTGCATGTCGCGCTGTTCGGCGGCGGCTACCTGGACAGCGTGCGCCGGGTCCTCGACCGCTACGTCTGAGGCACGTCTCAGGCACGTCTGAGGCCCGCCGCCGGCGAAGCCCGCGCGCGCCCTTGCAGCAATCGGCGGCGCCGCGGCGTTGGCGGGGCGGAGTCGATGACAGGCGGAGGTGGCGTGACCCGCGACACCCGCACAGAGGTTCAGGACCCCGAAACGCCGGAGGGCGCGGCCGCCGCGGGGCGCTCCGGCCCCGGCGCGACGCGCTCCGTCCCCCTCGCGGTGAAGCTGCTGCGCTGGGTCGAGCGGCTGGTGCTGCTGGCCGTCGCCGTCTTCACCGTGATGGCGGCCGGGGTCGAGGTGCTTCGGGTGGTCGAGACCGGCAGCGTGGTGCTGGCCGACCTGCTGCTGATGTTCCTCTATGCCGAGGTCATCGGCATGGTCGCCGTCTTCTACCTCTCGCGCACCACGCCGCTGTTCTACCCCATCTTCATCGCGATCACCGCGATCGCCCGGCTGATCGTGCTGCAGTCGAAGGAGATGGACCCCCTCAAGATCATCTACGAGGCGGCGGCGATCCTGCTGCTGGCCGGCGCCGTCGCCCTGCTCAAGCGCTTCGCGGCCGACTGAATGCCGGGCCGGCCGCCGGGCCAGCGGCGCGTCTCACACGGCCGGGACCCGCTCCAGCTCGTAGACCACCTCCTCGGTGTAGTGGGGGCCGTCGCTGCCCAGCACCGAGGAGAAGAGCGCGAAGTGCTCGACCGTGAAGGGGCCCAGGCGCAAGGGGCTGTTCTGGGCGATGAAGCGGCCGAGCTTGGGCCCCGGATCGCCCTTGAAGCGTGCCAGGGTGACATGCGGCTTGAACTTGCGCCGCTCGGCCGGCAGGCCGGCGCGGGCGACCGCGCTTTCCACCTTGGCCTGCAGGTGGGTGAGCGCCGGGGTCGGCGGCACGCCGACGTGCAGCGAGCGCAGCTTCGGCCCCTCGCCGAAGGTGGCCAGGCCCTCCAGGGTCAGGTCGAAGGCCGGCGCGTCGATCGCCGAGAGGGTGTCGTGCAGGTCGCGCGCCTGGCCGCCGTCGACCTCGCCGACGAAGCGCAGGGTGAGGTGCAGGTTCTCCGGCGGCACCCAGCGCGCGCCGGGAATGCCGCTGCCGGCCAGGGCGTCGAGGCGCTCGCGCACCTCCTCGGGCAGGCTCAGGGCGACGAACAGGCGCATGGCGAGGACCCTCCCGACGGTGCCGCGCGCGCAGGCGGGACCCGCCGCGCTCCAACGGCGGCCAGTCTAACAGGCGCCGGCGGCGCTGCGGCAAGTCCCGCCGGGCCGAAGCCCCGCCTGCCCGCGGCCGCCGGCGGCCGGCCGCTTTTTGCTTTGCAGCCCGAGGGTTTGCATCTTACCGTTGCGCCAGGATGAAAAACCCGGCGGGCGAACGACCGGGACGGGATGGCTCACATGTTCGGGAAGCGGAAGTCCGGGTGATGGAGGACCGCCAGCCGGCGCTGGTCGTCGAGGACATCACCAAGTCCTTCGGGTCGCTGGAGGTGCTCAAGGGCATCTCGATGACGGCGGCCCAGGGCGACGTGATCGCGCTGATCGGCGCTAGCGGCTCCGGCAAGTCCACCTTTCTGCGGTGCATCAACCTGCTGGAGATGCCCGACAGCGGGCGGGTCTGGGTCGGCGGCGAGCTGATCGAGGTGCGCCGCGACCGCCGCGGCCGCCGCACCTTCGACCGGCGCCAGGTCGACCGGCTGCGCCGCAGGCTCGGCATGGTCTTCCAGCAGTTCAATCTCTGGACCCACATGAC